GATTGGTCAATGGAGCGTAGGTATGCTTCCACAGCGGTTGAGATGGCCAAGGAGTCACCTTCGGATGCTGCGTGGGGATTTCTTACCTTGGCTTGGGGAAGTTTCATCACCAGAGCTGCTGAGATAATTGGCACCATGACGGGTGAGGAAGTCAAATGTCCTGGATCGTACGCGCGCTGCATCAAGCCGAAGTGGGTCGACGTAACTTACAATGGCAGTGATGCGGTAGGCCTTGCTGCACAAGCGGACGGATGGAAGTGGCTTTCGGATGCTCTTCAAGGTCTCAGTCTGTTGAAGCAGGCATCCAGCAATGGCGATGAGGAGAAAGCTGCGATGCTTGACGACGAGCTGATGCTGTTTCAGACGTCACCGTATCCTGGGGTTCATCTATGTTCGAGATTAGATGCAGGTGTGACGCTGGCGAGGCGATTGGTAGCAGGTCGATTCTTTCCAGAACAGATTGCTGAATTCCTTGAGGAGATTGATGAGGATGTCGAGTTTGCAAAGCAGGCTGCTGGGAGAGAATCTCAAAAACGATGGCAGAATTGGGGCGAGCAAGCTGCAGCAGGAGGCGCACGAGCTTTGCACAAGAATACGCAGTCTAATCAGGTCAACGAGACGAGACGACGGTGGTCACCGCTGACGGGCTTCCGTCTGCACATCCACACGTTGTTGTCGAGACAACTGCAGATGAGTATCGATCGTTGTGGGATGCTAGCTCTGAGGCGCCCAAAGCATGGATACCAGACAGGAGTTCTTTCCCGAGAGCAACTGCTGCTGACATCAGGGCCGTTGCTCAAACGTGTTCCTCATCAGCTGCAGGGTCTCTGGACGGACTACATCCTAGACACCTGCTGCTCTTGAGCGATGAGAGCCTCGACGTCCTCGGCATGTTGTTCGAAGCTTTCGAATCTTTGGGAATGTTACCGAAGCAGATGTTATGGATTTGCATGCCTATGCTTCCCAAGCCGATGGGAGGACATCGACTTATAGTTCTTTATGGATCGGTATATCGTGTATGGCAAAGGCTTCGTCGACCTGAGCTTGCACCACTTCAGCAGTTTCTACGCCGTGTGTATTGGGGGGCCTCGTCGGGCCGCTCCGCTATCGATTCTGCGTGGCAGGTGGCTGCTCGTGTCGAAGCTTGCGTACATGACAAAAGGAAGAGCTTGCAGATCATTGCTGACTACAGCAAGTACTATGAGACCATTGATTTAGTTACGGTGAGGGAGAAGTTTTCTAGATATGGTGCACCCACGTGTTTGACGAAATTGTTATTCAACACTTGGTCGGCACCAAGAATCATTCGATTAATGCGGCACCATTGTCTTCAACCAGTTCACGCTCGTCGAGGATTCCCAGCGGGCGATGCGTATGCGGATGTGGGGATCAATGTACACGCGTTGGAGGAGTACGACAGATTCGTGGCTTTGCACAGTGAGCTGCATTTTTCTTCGTACATTGACGACAGCAGCCTAGGCATCGAAGCGGAGACTACAGATGAGTTGATCGAGATGGCGGTGAGAGCTGGTCGCAGTTTCCAGACAACTGCTTCAAGATTGGGGGCCAAGTTTAATATCAAGCTCTCAATCGTATGTTCCGAATCTGGAGTTGGTGATAAGGTTGCTGACAAATTGGGGTTTCATTCTTCTTCCAACAAGCGAGCAGCTACGTATCTTGGAACAGATCAGGCTGGTGGGAGATCAAGGCGAGCTGCAGCCACGCGGAAGAAGCAACAGAGTCGACGTCGACGTTCTCAACATCGGTTGAAGAAAATTGCTCGGCATCGAAAGGCGATCCCCACCAAGAAGTACGAGAGGACAGGCAAACTCTTCAGAACAGGGGCGCGACCAGCCCTGACGTTCGGTGTGGAGATCACAGGCCTGTCAGATTCCGAATGGAGTGCATTACGTAGACAGTTGTTCCAGTTCGTGAAACCATGCCATGGTGGGATTTCGGCAAGTGCAAAGGCTGTACTCTTTGATGCTCCTTCAGCGCGTCAAGCACTTGCCCCAGCTCTGCAGTGGTCAAGAATGATCTGGCAAGCAGTTCTGGCACCAGATACGGCATTAGTTTCCTTGGATCAGCTCCGAACGTGTTGGACACAAGCTTTGCAGGATCGCCCGCTTGAGGATCTAGTGTGGGCGTCTTCGCGAGGGCCCCTTGAGCGAGCTGCTCTTTGTGTTCGCAGGGTCGGTTGGACAATCAAGCAGTGGGATGTCTGGCTTGACCATCGTGGAATTGAAGTGCCATTGCAACAATTTACACCAGGCATGCTGGAGAAGCGACTGACTGAGTCATTACAGAGACAGTTGGAGCTCGACTTGGCTGCCAAGAGAGGGCTTCCAGCTGGCATGCGATCAAGTTATGACATTATTCGGCCGTTCGTGAGAGAGAAGTATTCGAAGTTCACCTCATACCAGAAGTTCCTGGTCAAATCCTTTGCGCTCGGCGGCATATGGACACGTGAGCGGGCGAGATGCAAAGGTTATGAGACGGACGGTCGTTGTGATTGCGGAGCTCCAGATACGGTACATCATCGTTTGTTCACTTGCATGAGGGGTGATGTGGTGGCTGCCAGAAGTGCTTCTGAGGTACCGCCCGAATTCATCCAACGCGGCATTGATGAGCATAGTCCGGGGTTTTTTGAGCATGGAGTGTTTGAATATCTCGACGAGGAGATTCCACAATTGGCACCTGGTCATGAAGCTTTCGTCGTGAATATGGACGGCGAGGTGCAGGATTTGAACCCTGAGGAGATGGTGGAGTCTGCATGCCCAGAGGCGCAGGTGATCGAACTTGCTCCTGATGGTTCTTGCAGCAAACCTGCTCTTCGTGATTTACAGAGGGCTGGATGGGCAATAGCATTGTTGAACCCGTCTGGCCCAGACCCACTTCTTGCAGTATATGGGGCTGTTCCTCCTGCTCTGCCCCAGACATCAGTGATTGCTGAGTATATGGGATTGGCTTTTTGTGGCCAAGTCGCAGATCGGCCTGCAACCATGTATTTTGATTTCCTTGGCGCAGTCTTCGAGGCGCGGAAGTCTCCTCAGCGCCAGAGAGAATCACGTTCCATTTATGCATGTGTTCAGGTCTTTGGTCAGAGCCTTCCTGGCCGTGAATATCTGACAGCAGCAGAACATGTTAAAGCACATCGCACGAGCGAACAATATGCTCTGCTGAATGTTGAGCAGAGAAGAATAACAGATGCGAGCATTGCTGCTGACAGATTCGCGAAGATGGCTGTTTCTCTTCACCCCGCTCCTCGTCACGAATTCTGTAAGCAGATTGAGCTGCACGAGGAGGCGACGAGGAACCTCGTGCGTCTAATATCCGCCACCCTGCCCTGCTACGAGAAGGAGGAGAGGTGGAGGAGGGCACCGATATTCAAGAGGAGTAGAAACGTGAGGACTGAGGGACATCATGATTGGTGTAGGACGGAGTTAGGAGTTCAGTGTAAGTATTGCCTCTCTGTTCTGCATGACAATGCCGTTGATTGGCCCTTAGTGGGCTGCAGGGGCACCCCAGCTTTCCTCAGTGCGTTTTTCGCTCGGCCGAACGGCCACTGTCTTGTTGCTGTGCACCAGTCTGGCGAACGGTGCGAGTCGGTCTCGCATAGTGTGGACCGACCTGTTTTTGTCTGTACGAAATGTGGAGCGTGGGTCCAACAGAGGCGCCGTCTCAAGTTGAGGTCACCTTGCATCAGGCCGACGCCCAAGGGTCTTGAGATTCTTCGGAACCTGAGGCGTGGCGTCGGCCCTCATCGCAAGCTCCAGCGATCTATCGATTCTGTGATACCTGCCGTCCGAGTGGCGCCCACACGTCGCGTCCCTCGGAAAGAGACGACCAGTGTCTCCGCGAGGCCCAACCCAGCCTCTTCGTATCAGTACGAATCACGGATGGCGGCACTCCAGGAGAGAGTGCGCCAGCGGGAGCTGGTTCGGGCACAGGAGGGCCCAGCAGGTGGCGCAAGCGGTAATGGGCTAGGCTGAGCCCGAGCGCCGCCCTGCTGGGCCGAGTCGTTAGTCACGTGACTGGTCCGCCTCGGCGTGCTTCTTCTTCTTCTTCCTTGGGAGGGTCAGGCAGTCCAAGGAGAGGATAAGTCGCTCCATCAAACGTTGTCGGAGCTGGAACGTTGTCGGAGCCTTCCAGAAAGCTCTGAAACGGTCACACATCGCCCGCGCAGAGGTGGCGCCAGCCGCACGGCCCCGGGACCTCCGACGTCGTTGTGGTCTTATCACGGCGTTTCGGGGGAACATCTACCGATACCGCTGCTAGTTCTGGAGAGTTCTCGTCGCCACGGCTGGATTCACCTCGAAATCCTGGTCAGAACGCACTCCAGGAGTGTCCCGGAAGAAGCGGTATCGTATCGGTACCGCTTGGTCCCTTCAATCACAGTGTGGACCCCCTTGAGTTGCCTCCTTGCCGCCCGCGCCGTCTTTGCAAGCTCCTCCACATTCATCCCTCCCCCTCCCTCCATGCTGCATCCTGCTCCCCCTCTTAATTATCAGGGAATTCGCTGTTCTTTTTGACCACAATGTTCTTGACATGTGGAGGGCCTCCTGGATTTCGTCCTGGTGGTGTTAGGAGCCTGCTTGTGGTCTCTTGGGACCTGTTGCGCGCATCTTTGGGGTGTCTTGGGCGCGTCTTGAGGCAATGGTGGGCTATCTTGGCGGCTGCGGCGGTGCAGCATTACCGTCCGCTCGAGAGCGTCGCCTCCTGTGCAGTACCTGCGCTTGCTAAGCACAAGAGGAATGCGTACGGCATGCTTCACCCAAGGATGCGTTGCAGCATTGGTTGATGCGTTTTGGATATGCTCTGGCCAGGTGACGCTTTCCTTGGACTTCGAGGCTCGTGCCTCGAGTTTTCGACGCTGGCGCTCCAAACTCTGCTGCTTCGGCGGCCGCGGCATGTAAGTACAACGTTTTGCAGTGCTGGCTACCAGTGTAAGTTGCCCTCCCCTCCTCTACGCGCCCTACTCTTCCCTCCCTTCCGACAAGGTGTGGCTCGGCGAGTCGGGCGTCGTCATTGGGCCGGGCCAGACCAAGGCGCGCCTCGGCACTGGTGTGACCGACCTGGTCGGGCGCAGGTCATCGCGTCCTGGCCTGGCAAGACCACGGCCAGGCAGGCTTGGGATGACCATACTGTTGCAAGACCAGAGTGTTCTGGAACTCGGAGCGTGTCGGAGTGCTCTGAAAAGGCAGCGGCGCTAGATACATCCGACACATTCCCCTGAATCACTAGCTCTCAGAGATTGCCGATTCCTCTTCATCCGAGTTTATCTACATCAGGGCATGCCAGGGCACGCGTGCGATCTGATTTGATGAGTGCGTTTGGTCTGGTTGGTCAGTTATCCCGTGTTCCATACTGGTTTGCAGGAGGGCGTCACTCCCGCCAACAGCCCCAAGTCGACCCCAGTTGTGGACAACCACCGCAAGGTGACAGGCTTTCGTTGACGCCCGCCAGGGGTCCCCCACGCTCAGTAAGAGATGCAGAGGGTAGAGGAGTTTCGCAGGGCGTTGGGCGAGAGCGAGCAGAAGTGCAGCATTCGCACCGTCATCGTCGGAAGCCGGCAGAATTTGGCACAAGCCAGCGGAAGCAAGTGCGAATCCCTAGGAGAGGTCGATGCTGGAGTACGGCAGGTTCAGGCCGTGTCGTCGCGGCGGCGACCCCAGCGCGGGGAGGCCAAGACTCAACGCCGCCATGGGCCTTGAGTCGGCCGACATCGAACCATCTGTGGCACCAGAAAGACCCGATCATTCGAGGATGAATGTTCCACGCCCTGTTGAAAGCTTTTTTCTTCCGTTCCCACCATCCACACTCCCGCCACCACGCCCTCACACCCTAACACCCGCGTCATCGCGACGTGAGCTTGCCGTATGCCAGCATTTCCAGCGTCGGCCATGCAGGTAGGCGCCCTGTCGCCAGACACGGGGGTCTCAGTTGGCGCCCGTCACGACGGTCTGGTTGAGGTCTTGTCTGGAGTTGTGCGCCGGGCACGTGTTCTCAGCCGAGGTCGAGCAGGCCGTTCTCAGGACACGAAGTTGAGGTGGATGAGCAGTAACAGCGCGATGGAGAAGGGGGAGGACGAGGAGGAGCTCGCTCAGTGTTGTCTGGTTTGCACTCTTCGTCGCTCTGCGGCTGCTTCCCCCCCCTTGGAGGGCAAGCTCGCCGTCCGCTTTGACGACAAGAGCGGCGGCGAATGGAACGTCTGGCCTGCACAGGGGGGGAGGAGAAAGTGGACGAGGCGGTGAGTGGAGAGGGCGAGGGGCGAGGGCGAGGGGAGACTGCTCTCCTCATTGTTGTTCCCCTGCTCAGTCGGAGTATCAGCTGCTGGAGGTCCGCGCGGATTTCTTGGGTCGGCGCTGAATTCTCCTCCCTGGCGCGCGGAGCGCGCCATGGGGCTCCAGAGCCGATCCAAGAGATGCGCGCGGACCTCCCGAAAGTGTGCGTTTCGCAAGCAACATCTCCCCCCCAACACAGTTCGACACAAAGCCTTCCCGCAAAGAGCACGAGAGCCGTCGATCGTCCACCACAGCCAACTCCAAACGAGGAGGCCACGACGCGCCAAATGCGTGTCGACAACTCTTCTGAAACAATAAGATGAGATCGAAAAAATGCATGGGCGCAGCATGCCGAAAAACTGACCAGCTCCGCCCCCAACAACAACTGGCCGCTCAGAAAAAAAGGTGGGAAGCTCAGGGAGGCACACCCAGGGGTAGTATCCCGACGCACTTCCGTCGAGGGTGAGCGCCCGCCATCGTATTAAGTACCCCTGAGCTGGGGCTCAGATCTTCTGTCTGGTAGACAGTCCCGCAGAGGTCGGCGAGCTGGTGTCGCCATGCCCCCAGACATCTGGCGGCCGGTTCTTTCCTTCCGCGGCCTTTGACCCCTCGTCCCCTTCTCCGAGGGTATTTCTTCGTCCCGGATCCACTGTTGATGGCCCCGGGGCCCCGATAACGGGCCCCACCAGGCCGTAGTTGGGGAACCATGCGAGGATTGAAATAGACACATCGCAGGAGGTTTGGCATCACGCAAACGTGCTGGCATCGCAAACCCACCGTTGTGTTATTTCAGCCTTGGCACCACGCAAACATGCTTATACCATGTGTGCGTCGGGCCCGCGGCCGACGCGCGCGCGAGCTCAGAAGTCTTCTTTTAGCAGGCGTTTTCTGGCCATACCGCATGGGCAACGATATATTACATGATGTCTTCCACTGTATGTTCGGCTCGGGCGTGCGCTGCAAACGGGGCGCACAGTACTGGCATTAGGATCCTGCGATCGCCCAGGTTATCGGGCCCGTCTGCCCCCGCGCCCCCCCACCCTCGCCCCCAGATCACCTGGCCTTCTCGGTTGCCCAAGCCCGGAGAAGGGAGTACGCAGTACTGGTGCGCGTGGGTGCACGTGGTGCTGCCCAACGCGAGACAGGAGTAGGTTATCGATTGGCGCCTCTCCCTCCGCGCCCATCGAATAAACCAGGTTATCACGCCGAAGAACAGACAAACAACGATCTTGCATGATCTTGCCTCCCACGTCTGTTCTCCTGCGCTCTGACGGCGGCGACCCCGCCGCCTGCGCTCAAGGTTGAACGCCGCCGTCGACCCAGAGCGGGTCGATGTTGAACGATCTGACGCCTCGGAAACAGGCGATCGGTCAAGACTGTGAACGACCCCTCGCCGTGTCAGGAGCCATCGCTGGGGAAGGCGCGACGCGAACCTGCCGCGTGCTCTTCTTAGAGGAAAGAGAACTATGCACATGCACCGATTCTGGCCACACCCATCCTGAGCCCATGATCGGTGCATACGCCCTCCTGCCTTGGCCAGGAAGGCATATGCACCAATCCTGGGTCAAGGGATGGGCCTTGCCAGGATCGGTGCATGTGCATAGTTCCCTTCGCCCGATCTTCTGTGCCCCACGCCTGCTCCCCCGCGCGGGGCCCCCCCGCTCACCAGGGCCGCGCGGATCCGGGCTGCTGCCGTGGAGCGGTGGGGCTCCCTCTCTCTCTGGGAGGCCTCGGCCTCTCGGCGAGGGCACCGGCGCCCTGCACCCCCCCGGCGCGCTGCCCGGGGGGTCCGGCGCAGAGCGGGAGGGTGGCGCGCGCCTGGCGCGCCCGGGGGTGCGTCGCGTTGGGGAGCCGGCTGGGGGCTCGAGGTGGCGCAGCATTGGTTCCAGCCAGCAGGAGGGGGGGGGGAGGGACTGACTGTGAGCAGATCGGGCGGGTGGCAACATGGGGGTGACCTGACTGGGGGATGAAGAATGGGGGCCCCAAAGGGCCACTTTGGGGCCCTGTTCTTCACCCCGAGTTCAGGTCACCCCCCGTGATCACCCGCCCGAGCAGCTTTGGATTCATCCCTCCTGATCTGGTGTCCCAACCAGGTTCAGGCCCCCCGGCGGACTCACAGTCGCGCCATCCTCTCTTCTCGGGCAAGCCGCAGGCGCACAGAGGCGTGAGGCTTCATGCCTCGTGGTCCCTCGAAAAGCAGAGAAGGGCGCAGCCACAGTGTCCCAGAGCTCCGCGCGGACTTCTCGGATCGGCGCTGGGGCCCCTGGCGGCGCCCCCAGCGCCGCCCCTGGCGCGCTCCGAGCGACAGGGAGCGGGGTCTAGCACCGATCCCTGAAATCCTCGCGGGGTTCCGAGGGAGTATGTTCATGCCGTCTTTAGTTCTTTTCATCCCCCCCTCTCCCCAGCCCCTCCCCCCATAACGCGCGTAATCCCCAGCAAGAGCAGCGACTCTCTAGCAACTCTCTCTTGCTTCTCGGCATCCCCGCTTGCTGATCGTCTCTCCCATCTCGTCGTTTACTCCCTCTCTACCCTGTCGTCTCATGGCTCTTTGGCGCAAAGGTAGAAACAGGCTCCAGCGGGGGCTTGAGGTTCCACCGCAGAGTCCAGTGGCCAACTATTGCAGCAGTCATTTGTGCGAGGTGGCACTGTTCAGCGTCAGTCTGCTGTCCCCATCCTTCGAGTAGGAGGTCGACTGCAGAATTAATGAACCCCAAACTTGGTTGTTGAGCCGAATATACAAACGCGTAGCATTTAGGTATAATTACGAACACTACGTGTTTGTATAGATTCGGTGAGAAAATCGAAATTGTGACAAGAGAATTCTGAAGTCGACTCCCTATTTGGATCCTACCCCGCCTCCCATTCCAAAGCCGCCCTTTTCCGCCTTATCTCACATGCGCAGCATGGCTGCGGTGATAGTTATGCAGTTCTCGAGGTTGGAAGCATCATGGTGGCGGATCGTGCCGTGAAGAAATCAGCCCTGTAAACTCCGACCCACCCTGCCCCTTCACAGACTGTCACATGACCTTCAGTTCCCACCCATCGATTGCTTGCTCATTCGTCCGCTTCTGCCCCTCTTCCTAGTGCCTCCCGAATCCATCGCTCCTTACTCCTTGAGCCATCCTTGCCCCACTCTGCACACCTGTCGCAGATTGCTGTCCAATCAGCAGAGACAGGTCCATACACCTGCCCACCCCATCTCTCCCGCTTCATGCTCCCTCGCCTCCGGCGTCACCCCTCGTCGATGGCCGACCCCCTGTTGCTCACGCACACGAGCCAGGTACCATCTGACGGTCAGCGGTCCCACTCGCTCCAAGGGGCCCAAGGGACACACACAAATACATACACACAGATCCCAGGATTCCCGATATTTTCCCATACTTTCTGGGTTTTCGTCTTCCCCCCCACTTCCCGTACTTTCCCATCTTTTCCGTGGGAATCGACGATTGATCGTGTCTGTGTGTGTCTTGTCCCTCCTGATCGTTCCCTTCCCCCCCCCCCGTTGCGACGGGCGCTGGGGGCGCAGGCCCAGCACGCTGTGTGCCGCCGGCGCGTTCGCGGAGGTGGTGAAGCAGAGGCGCGACGGGTGGCCTCCGGCCCGCGCCGCGTGGCGGGGCGGGCGGGTGCACCTGGCAGTGTCAGGTCGGGCCTGTCCCCCTACAGGCGGATTTCGGACGAAGACCAAGATAGCTTCAAAGATTTAAGAATCGTTCCGAGACCATTTTCTGACTATGTCTGAATTCTCCTCCTGCAGTGGGACGTGCCGGACTCACCGACTATTTTCGAAGATTCCTCTTGCAGAGGGGCGTGCCCGGCTCACTGGTGGTGGCAGGGTTCGGCAGGCTCCGGCCTGTGAGTCCTCTCGAGTGCGTTCTCCGGTGCCACGCCACGGGAGCGCTTCCTCTGCCCTGCCGGCTTCCTGCCAGGAGCACGGGAGCAATGGCTCGTTGGCCTACGCCGCACCGCCGAACCCTTCGGGCCTCTTTGGGTCGCTTTCGTGCTGTCTTGGAGGAGGTCTCTGGGGCCGTCTTGCGAACTCCAGGAGCCGTTTCGTGGGCCGTTTGGTCCGTCCTGAGGCCATCGCCAGCTGTGGTGGGTACATCTTGGGCCATGTTGCAGGCATCCGAGGGCCATCGTGGTTTGTTTCTTCGCGGCTGTACTGCGGGCTTGGAGGGCAAATGACGTTTGTCCTGGCCTGGTCCAGGGAGCCAGTACGCGCTGCGGTGCTAGTCCCTTCCAGGCGTCTCCGTGCTGCCACAGCCATGCTGCTGACGCGGTGGCCTGCACGATGCGATGCGTCACCCTGCCAGGTAGAAGCCCGCCTTGCTGTGGGGGAAGGTGCACGAGCACCGCAGCGATGTCCTGTGAAACGTCAGGGCAAGCGTTGCAGCGCTTCCCCGCCGGTTGCTCAACATATTGTGAAGGCCTTACGACCGGCGCCGCCGGCCCAGGAGGAGGAGGAGGACGACGACGACCACGACGACGACAACGACAAGCTGATAACCCTGCCGCAGGTTCGGGACAGGGGGCGGGCGGTGGAGGGAGGATGAGCAGAAGGAGGAGGAGAAGGAGAAGGAGGCGAAAGAGGAGGGGGATGGGGGATGGGGAGGGGGAGGTGGAGGAGCAGGCGGAGGAGGAGGAGGACCAGTGGAAACCCAAGACGCAGCAACGATGTTGGAATAAACCTTCCCTCCAAGCTCCCTCTTCACAGGCCTCTACGAGGATTCATATCCATTGAGGGAACTGCCTCGTTGGGAGACAACCGTTTGAAGACCCTGAAGCGTGCCAGAACACCATTCCAGGCAACGAATCAACATGACTGTTGCGTCTCGCAACGAATCAACATGACTGTTGCGTCTCGACGATCCACCATCGTGCCAGAACGCCATTCGGTGGGAGTCGACGCCGCGAATCAACGTTACTGCTGCGCCTGGACAGTCCTGCGTCCTCCCCAAAAAACATTCTGGCACGTTGGCCATGGGAACCCGTGAATCAGGAGGGGAAAAAACACACAGACACAATTAATCGGCGATTCCCAGAAAATATGGGAAAATATGGGAAGTGGGGGGGAAGACAGGAACCCAGAAAATATGGGAAAATATGGGGGATAGTTTTATTTGTGTGTATTTATTTGTGTGTTCCAGGGCCCCTTCAAAAAAAACATTCTGGCACGTTGGCCATGGGAACCCGTGAAACTCATGCAGTTGTCGAAAACGGCCCTGCGGCCCTGCATGGTCCTGGCCTCGGCCCCCGGGCCCCCGGGCTCCGCCGCGGCCCCCGGCCCCCGCCACGGCCTCAGCCCTGGCCCCAGCCCCGGCCTGGCCCGGAGGAGGCAAACGGCTCTCCTCCCCCTCCTCTTCCCCCCCCTCCTCCTCCTCCTCCTCCTCCTCCTCGTTCTCCTCTTCCTCCTCTTTCTCCTCCTTGTCCTCCCCCCCCTCCTCCTCCTCCTCCTCCTCCTCCTCCTCCTCCTCCTCCTCCTCCTCCTCCTCCTCCTCCTCCTCCTCCTCCTCTACTCTTTCTTCTCCTCCTCCTCTCCTCTTTCTCCTCCTCCTCCTTCTCCTCCTCCTCCTCCTCCTCCATTATTTTCCCTTATCGCACCATGGGGCCAGTGGAAAGGCGGGCCAGGCGTTCGGTTGAGTTTTCCCCAACATTCATGACCCTGAAGCTTAGATGCTGGCAGCAGTTTCACAGATGGAGGGCGGGTCGCTTCCAAAATGTGGGTCTCGTCTTAGCGCCGCGCACTCTCGCTTAAAACATTGCAAGGCTTTCACGGATGCAGGGTGGGCCATTTTTTTATGGGGCTCTCGCCTTAGCATCGCGCATCCTCATTGTATATGCAAGAGTTTCACGGATTCAGGGCGGTGGTTTTCATAATGTGGCCCTCGCTTGCACTAGAGCCGCACGCATTCGCTTGAAACATGTGCAAGAGCTTCGAGGATTGAGGGTGGGCCGTTTTTCAAACGTAGCTCTCGCTTCAGCGCCGCGCACATTCCTTTTCAGAGCTCGCAAGGCCTTCACAGCGGAGTGAGGGCGGTTCTTTCTCAAAATGTGGCTCTCGTGCGAAGGCGAGCGGTGCGACGCGCGCGACGAATGCGAGGAACACTAACGCAAACAAGCATACTGCTGCGGCGATGCGAACGATTGCTGCGAACGCCGCCGCGAATGATCATAATGATGGCGCTACGAAGGCGATGAACAAGGGCGGGCGCGGGAGCCAGGGCCGAGGCCTGAGCCTCGAGGGAGGGGCCCGGAGCCTCCCTGCCGACAGAGAGACCACCCCCGCCCCCGCCGGATTCTCCGCAGGAAGGGGGGGCCGCCCAGGGCTGGGGCGACCCCGGGACGCCCCTTTCGGAGGTGGACAGAACCCCCAACAGTGACACGTCGATTAGTGGATTGTCCGTTTTCGGTTCTCGAGAGGGCGCCGTGGCCGTTATTTTCCAGGCGTGCGCCCGCCAGGTTTGGGCCTCAGGTCGTTTTCACTAAATCACGTTTTGCTAAAGGGGGGTCTGTCCAACCCCGACCCTTTGCCCCGCGACTGCCCCCAGGGACGTGCCTGTATGCCTACCAAGCAATGTTCTGAAAATTCTCTGTGGTTTGCACGGAATGTTCTCAGAACCTTTTTTGGCGGAGTCGATCTTGTGTGAACACGTCGGGTGTATGTTCTGAGGACACTGCTGTTGTTCTTAGAACACTCTTGGGTTCTAAGAACAGTCGTGATAGGCCTATAGGAATGGCGGGACGGTCGGTCCCTGCTCAATGGCTACCCCTTCTTTGTTCGATCGCCCTTGCGACGACGGCGATCCAAAGGAGGCTGGCGCACTTCGTTGGGCTGGCCTCGCGTGGAAGGGGCCTCTCACTCACGCCCACTGGGTCGGCAGATGCTGAAGCCGGGCAGACGTCGCCGTGAGCCAGTGCGCGACGAAGGGCACTGAAGAGGAATTGTGCACGAAGTGCGCCTCGAACACAGGAGCGAGTAGAAGTATGGACAGCGGGTGGGTCAGTAGGATAATGCAGTGAGCGCGACGCGGACGGCGCATCGACCCACGCGGACCTTCGCTAATGCGAGGTGCCCGAAGCGGGCGGACGGGCTCAGGGAGATCTTCGCTGACGCGACGCAGTACGTTTGAGTCGGTGAGGCACCCCCTGTGATATGCCGCGCGTGCCATGTGTCGCATCGCCAGGCCCGACCATTCAGGTGTTCAGCGCCCCCGAAACAGACGGATGGTACCGGACCGCCCATCGCGAGGGAAAGCCGGCGTGAATTGCTTGAAGCTCGATGAACGCCTGCAGTGTGCCGCGCGTGCAAGGACAGGAAGGCCGCTGAACCACCGAAAGCGCTGTAGTGCGCAACTTGTCCTGTGTTAGCGGGCGGACCAACTCCGACGTGCACAGATGCGAAGCATCCATTTGTCCCAGGTCCCAGAGCCACGTAGGGAATCACTTTGACTTTGACCTCCGCGCACGAGCGATGTGCTTCGCGCGCGCGAAAGCCAAGAAAGCCCCGAACATGAGTAGAACGCAGCTCCCCTCGGAGTGATCAGGGCAGCGGGAGGCGTCGGAAATCGATTGGGCTGCGGAAGCGGCGTCGGTATCTGCGGCCGCAAGAACCGTATTCAAGGGTGCGCCCAATAATAAAAGGAGCACATCTACGCATCTCTGTGAGTTAGTCAAAACCGGAAACTATACACGGACGAAGCGCGAGAGAAAGAGAGTGGGATGGTGGGCAAAAGGAGGACGAGGGGGAGGAGGAGGAGGATATGTCGACGAGGGAATGGAGGAGGGCTGACGAGGGGGAATGAGGATGAGAAGATGCAGGTCTACCCAGGTCCGTTTCGGAGCCCTCCTGTGGAGTCTTATGGCCCTCTGGGGGCCTTTTGGTGGCCTGCGGAGGGCTTCTGGAACTTTACTGGTGGCGTGGCGTGGCGTGTCAGGGTTGTCGGGGGCCGTTTTGTGGGGCGACCCCCAGGGGTCGAGTACCTCCTTTCTTGGACTCTTCGTGGGGCTTCTCGCGGGGATGCCTTGCTCAGTTTCGGCGCCCTGTTGGGCCGTTCTGGGGCCCTGCTGCTGGGTCGCCCTGGGGGGACCCGAGGGGGTGCATGGGCTGCCTCAAACATCCTGGAGACCGACGGGGCGAGTGTGCACAATGCGTGGGAAAGCCATGCGGATTTTGTTGTTGTTGTTGTTGTTGTTGTTGTTGATGTTGATGTTGATGTTGATGTTGTTGTTGTTGTTGTTGTTGTTGTTGTTGTTGTTGTTGTTGTTGTTGTTGTTGTTGTTGAACATTATTACTTCTAAAGAATAATTATTGTTGGGGCCCCTGGTGCACGACCCCCCCGCCGCGCCTAGGCCGCAGCCTCATTTTCATCATTTTCGTGAGGAAGTCTCAGGCAAAACGGGGGAGTCCGGATCCGGTTGTGTTGTTACGATCGGTTTTCCCTTGCAAAAAATAAGCTAAAGTGGACATTTCTTGTTCTAACATAACCAAACTTCAAGAATCCCTTGCAAAAAATAAGGTAAAGTGGACATTCGCGCGCGCAAGACGAAATCCTTCCAAAACCTTAGTTTTCGTAGCGATTTTAACATAAAAACATCAAAAAACAATGGTTTTTCAAAAAAAAATGTCAAAATTTCATCCCGCGCGCTCTTGCGGATTCGTAGGAAACCCAACACTTTTTAAACATTTCTGTCAAACGGGCTTTTGCGAGCAACTTTTTCGAACTTCTGCAACAACGGTTGCGCACCTGCCAGGGCCATCATCCCTGTCAAATAATACCATGCGGGACACATTCGTTTTTTCTTCGCGCGCGCACGCCGTCGTCGTCGGCCGCGGGGCCCTGAATAGTAGCCACGGTCGTCCGCATGCCACGAAGTGAAGTGTCCGAACGTCATAGGGCGGGAAGCTGGGTGTGGGTGGTGGCGAAGAGTCGTTTGGAAATTTGGTAGAGCTTGAACCGGCCCCCCCACAAAGTGGGGGTATTGCCCGCCTCCTATGAAAACCCTGGCACTGGTGAGAACGGAGTGTCCCCACGTGCTAGTAATTGTTGTTGTTGTTGTTGTTGTTGTTGTTGTTGTTTGAACATTATTACTTCTAAAGAATAATTATTGTTGGGACCCCTGGTGCACGACCCCCCCGCCGCGCCTAGGCCGCAGCCTCATTTTCATCATTTTCGTGAGGAAGTCTCAGGCAAAACGGGGAGTCCGGATCCGGTTGTGTTGTTACGATCGGTTTTCCCTTGCAAAAATAAGCTAAAGTGGACATTTCTTGTTCTAACATAACCAAACTTCAAGAATCCCTTGCAAAAAATAGGTAAAGTGGACATTCGCGCGCGCAAGACGAAATCCTTCCAAAACCTTAGTTTTCGTAGCGATTTTAACATAAAAACATAAAAAAACAATGTTTTTTTTTTTTTTTTAAAAAAAAAAAAATGTCAAAATTTCATCCCGCGCGCTCTTGCGGATTCGTAGGAAACCCAACACTTTTTAAACATTTCTGTCAAACGGGCTTTTGCGAGCAACTTTTTCGAACTTCTGCAACAACGGTTGCGCACCTGCCAGGGCCATCATCCCTGTCAAATAATACCATGCGGGACACATTCGTTTTTTCTTCGCGCGCGCACGCCGTCGTCGTCGGCCGCGGGGCCCTGAATAGTAGCCACGGTCGTCCGCATGCCACGAAGTGAAGTGTCCGAACGTCATAGGGCGGGAAGCTGGGTGTGGGTGGTGGCGAAGAGTCGTTTGGAAATTTGGTAGAGCTTGAACCGGCCCCCCCACAAAGTGGGGGTATTGCCCGCCTCCTGTGAAAACCCTGGCACTGGTGAGAACGGAGTGTCCCCACGTGCTAGTAATTGTTGTTGTTGTTGTTGTTGTTGTTGTTGTTGTTGTTGTTGTTGTTGGTGTGGTTGTTGTTGTTGTTGTTGGTGTTGTTGTTGTTGTTGATGTTGATGTTGTTGTTGTTGTTGTTGTTGTTGTTGTTGTTGTTGTTGTTGTTGTTGTTGTTGTTGGTGTTGTTGTTGTTGTTGTTGCTGTTGTTGTTGTTGTTGCCCGATGGCGCCCTCTTGGAAGTCCTCTTGTGATTGTTGGAGGTTTGCCTGGGGCTGTCGTGGGCGTCGTGGGAGCCTCTGGGAATGTTCAGGAAGGGAACTAACACACAAACACAAGCACCGTCGACTCCCAGGAAAATTTCGGAACATATAGAAAGTGGGTGGGGATGCAGAAAATCCAGAAGATATGGACAATTTTGGAACTCCTGGGATTTGTATATATTTATTTGTGTGTTGGGGGCCACCGAGGCGCGTGACAGGTTAAGCTGCGCGTGAATCTGCGTTGGTTTTCACGTCTTCTGAATGGGGCCACCCTTTCAAGGAAAAACCGGGCCGAGAATTCAGGACATGTCTTTGTGGGGCCATGTCCGATTTCGAACCAGAGTTTCAGCCAGAATCCGTATTAGACCATACACAACATCTTAATTTTGCGAGGGCCTCCACGGGCGAATAATAATAATAATCGATGACCTTATACAGGCCCAGGCCCCCTCTTCCATTTCAAGACAGGACGTCGATCACGAGTTTCTCGGCAGGCTGCTTTCTGCTGGGCGGGCCCGGAAGGGGGGGCGCAATGAACGTAGGAGGATCGAGGATTGCTGCGCAGCGGCCCTACAGGTGCCATGCACCGCCATCGTGTCTCAAAAGTCGCAGGCTTAGAGGTTGACACCAACACCAATTTCGGCGGAGTGCCTCCACCGAGGGAAGAAGATCCCGATCTCGTTGATGGTGGTCATATTCTGGCTTCCAAGGCGGCCGAAATATTACCACCAACACCGAACATCTAGGATCATCTTCCCCCCGTGGAGGCAACCTCCTGTGTTGGTTTTGGTGCCCATGTCAGGCCTCCACAAAAGGTGCCCGAAAGGTGCAAGCTGCTTCACCCGACGTTCATTGCCCCCCCCCGTTGGCGAACACCCGCTTCAGGAGAGCTGGGCGCCCGGGCGTTAAGCGCAGTTCTTGCTCCAGGCGCTGTGCTACGTCCCTCGATTTTTCGACCCCCTCGCACTGCGAAAAAGTCACCACGCCTTGCAGTGGGGACCCATGCCAGGAAAGACCCCGCTTGCCTCCAGGGCGCCCTGGGTTTCTTGGGTTTCGAGGGTCTTGCAACGGGAAGCGTGTTGTTCCCACGGCAAGAACCGATGGACGTCCTGGGGGTCCCGCTCTGCGAGTGGTGCGTTCCCCCGCGCGCGCTGCCGTGGGCTCACGGCTGTCAAGCGCGCAGGCCAACGGAGGAGAGGGGCGTGGAGGCGGCAGGCCGGGGCTGGCGGGAGGAGGCAGGAGGGCGGGCAGGCGGAGAGGCCGGGAAGAGGGCAGCAAGCAGAGGCAAGGAGAAAACACAAGCAGTGGCGAAGCGTCCCGGCGTGCCCATAGGCCCACCAAAACATGTTCTGAGAACCTCTTGTGGTCTGCACGAAATGTTAGAACATTTCTGGCTGGAACTGCCTTAGTTTAGCACAGCGGGTTTGTGTTCTAAGAGCACTGTCTTCGTTCTTAGAACATTTTTGGGGTTCTAAGAACAGTTCTTGGCAGGCCCAGAGGAATGCCAGGACGGTCGGTCCCTGCTCAATCAAAGGAGCGAGGAAGATACTCGTGCTTCGCGCTTCACGCGTCGCGGTCCCGGCCACGGCGGTTGCCTTTCTCCGGGGGGGGGGGGTGCGCGAGGGTGCGAAGGTGATCGCAGGCCGCGGTGTGCGAAATTGGGTGGCCTGGCTCTGTAAGGGGGCAGTCGGCGGCGAGTTGTGGCAATGCGCTGTTCAGCTCCGCTGCCTTCTTCCTGCCCCTCTCCGCCGTTTCTGCTCCGCGTGCTCCTGTTTCTTCGCCGCCGAGTCGAGACAGCGGCGGCCTCCCCGCCTGGCCCAGGTCCGCTCAAAGTGGTTCCCTGGACCTCTCTCTGTATCCATTCTGGCAAGTTTGTAGGCGCGGGCCCAGCCGTGGGGAGGGGAGGAGGGGGAGGAGCAGGAGGAAGCTCCCAGGAGAGCCCGTCAGTCAGCCAGAAGCCTTGCGGCAGACCGTGCGCTGGCAGAGGTGGGAAAACGCACATTTGATGCGCCACGACTGCACCGTCGACGCCCACGCTCGCGCTGCACCGCCCTCCTCCTCCTCCTTCTCCTCCTCTTCCTCCTCCCTCCTCCTTTCGAGCGCGGCCCAATGTCGCTCCCGCGACGCGGCCGATGTACCTCCCTCCTCCTCCTCCTCCTCCTCCTCCTCCTCCTCCTCCTCCTGCTGTTTCTCCTCCTCCTGTTCCTCCTCCTCCTCCTCCTCCCTCCTCCCTCCTCCCTCCTCCCCCCCGGGCGGAAGAAGTGTGCCGCCCTGGCGTGCGGGCGGCCCGGCCTCTCTCGCAGCACACACAGCTGGTCGTCACCAAGGGAGCGACCGTGAAGAGAACGGGGTCGACTGCGCCGACGTTGGCGCTCGAAGAGGGACAAAACCACATAGACAAATCAGCCACTGGCGCTCCGCGCGGACTTCTCGGATCCGCGCCCGGGCCCCCCGGCGGCGCCTCCGGCGCCGCCCCTGGCGCGCTCCGCGCGCCAGGGAGGGGGGTCCGGGCGCGGATCCGAGAGGTCCGCGCGGAGCACCAGAAGTTAATGTTTATCCTCCTCTTCCTCCTCCTCTTCCTCCTCCTCCTCCTCCTCCTCCTCCTCCTCCTCCTTGTCCTCCTCTTCGTCCTCCTCTTCGTCCTCCTCCTCCTCCTCTTCCTCTTCCTCCTCCTCCAGGCGCGCAGCCTGCCCGCGTCAGATCGCGCGTGAGGCGCGCTCGCTTCCAGTGTGCGGCGTGCCGCGCTGGCGGCCCGCGCAGGTCGCCGCACAAGGGCGCGATGCAATTTTTTTATTATTCAAAAAAAAAAAAGGGCGCGATGCCATCTCGCGTGAGACCCAGATTCCTTGTCGTCGCTCGGTTGTTCCATACTCCAGGAGATCCAAAAGGGGCGGAACACAACAGCAGCACTCATGTTTAAAATTGTTTGCTCCTATCTGCTCACGTGCCAAGCAGTACGTGTATCCCAAACCCTCGGTACCCGCCCTCGTCGTCTTTGATCGTACCCCCTTGGGGGTATGTCTTACTTACCTGCCACGCGTATTTAGTGCAGCCCCTAAAACAAGGGAAGGGAGGACGGGTGGAAGGGGGAGGGGAGAAGAATGGAACACGAAAGAAATTAGCAGGAGGGGGGCAAGGAGCAGAACGCACGTGGTAGAACTAGACGGGCAGATCGGGCGGGCAGACCCGTAGCGGGCAGGTCGGGAGGGCGGGCCCCGGGCAGCGAGGTCGAGCAGGCGGGTTGCTGAAGCGTGTGTCTTGCATGAACCGCGAGGCAGGGAGGAGGAGGAGGAGGAGGAGGAGGAGGAGGTCCGTAGCCATTTTGGCTCAAGTTAAAACCGCGGCGCCCTGGCGGCTTTAGCTTGATCGCAGGCGAGGGGCTGGCTCGAGTCCCGCAGCCTTCCCCCCACGATCCTCACAGGAGCCGCCTGGCGCTGTGAGCACTTTTCGGCATCTGACTGTGTGGCATGGCCCATGCCATGCCGAGCAGCCCCGAGGCTCGACGGCTGGCAGAGGAGCTCGACGCCATGGCCACGTTCCCGTCCCAGGAGGCTGGAGCAACAGGCGGCAGTACGAGCCCACCGAGCAAGACGGCCCGTCTTGCCGAAGATCCTCTTGAAGCTGTTGCTAATCTGCGCGCTGTGGTTGATTCCACTCGTGGAGAGATGCTCGGAGCCGTCGCCAAGCTGCACGCCAGTGTCACGCAGTTCAGCACCACCATCTCTGCCAACTGCGACGCCATCACCAAGCGGGTGGAGATGCGCTACGCGGAGCTGCAGGCCGAGCAGAAGAGCACCAACAACCGTGTCACGACCCTGGAGCGGCGGGTTTCCCAGCTGCAGGAGCTATTGCAGTGCATCAAGAATGAAGAGCCGCAGACCGTGGTCACCGACACGTCCTTCAACAGAATGGTCGACCCGTGTATCATCGTCGCCAGGACGAAGAATGTATGCAGTCGTGGTGCCGTTCAAGAAGCTCTGGCTGACTGGTTGGCTCGTGCCCAGCTTGCGCCAGAGGACTATGACTACCAATCGGACCCCGCTGGAAAGAGGTTCGTCTTCCGCGTCAAGGGGAATGCCACCTACGCCGCCAGGAAGGTGGGCCAGGCGATGGGAGCACTACGAATCGGAAATGGGCAGTGGGAACATCACGCGTGCAAAGACATGCTTGGTGCAAAGTGTGAGATATTCGTCAGCACGGACAAGAACCCCGCCATGGTCAAGAAGGAACTCGGCCTCAAGCAATTGCGGAAGGCCTTCCAAGAGGTCGACGGCAACCTGCGCCTTTTCTCCGACAAGGCGAAAGGCGAGCTGTCTGCGAACTGGAAGCCTCTGGTACGTTTCACGCCCAAGCCAGGAGACGAGGAGCCCATCCTCGAATGGTGTATGCCCAACATGCTCGCCCTGGGGCTGGACAAAGATCTGGTGCTCCAGCGCTTCCATGCATCAGGGCATGTCGCTGCACCCCCTCAGTGGTCTCTTTAGCGGGCTCCAGCGCCATTGGCGCGACGAGAGAGGCATGGCCTTGCCTTTGATACTATCCTCCTGGAATGCCCGTGCCCTCTTCCATCACGATCTCCCCCTCCAAGAACGGAAAGCCCATCTCCTCCGACAACTCTTTCTTCCAGGCAGTATCATAGGGGTGCAAGAGTGCCATGGTAGTGAGTTACAAGTCCAAGACCTTCTGTATCAGCATAATCTGCATCACAGATATACCGCATTTAGTTCGTTCTGTTCAAGTTCCAATGCCGGAGGTGTTACGACCTTTGTGCCGAAATTCATGCATCTTGGCTCCGAGGCCCCTCTGATTCTCCCAGAAGTTCAGGTCCCAGGTCGAGTTCTCAGAGTTGCGATTGATTTTGGGGATTTCGCTGTCATTCATTACAATGTTCACAACTACCAGTTAGGATCCGTAGCTAAGAAGAAGGCCTTGGATTCAATTAAGCACGACCTCGGGGTCGCAGAGGCGGACCCTTCTGCGCTGCTTGTCATCATTTCAGGTGATTTCAACTTCGCATGCACGCCGCCACGTAAGGAACCTGAGGCGGAGGTAGATGAGCAGACGCTTCGGTATCTTCAGGAGTGGAGGAGTACGCAGGACTGTGGATGGATGGAGGTGTTGAGGAGGATGGTGGAATTAGAAGTGCCAGAACCTACCCATCATTACCTGCCGACGCGGATGCTCAGCTACATAGATCGGCAGTTTATTTCGATGCCTGGGTGGATGCTCCTGCAGATGTCCGTCGAGGGGAAGGTAGTTGAATACCCCGACATGCTCAGCAAGAAAGGGATATCCGACCACGCCCCGATCCAGGTCACCCTCAAACCTGCTGGACCTATCCCGGCCTCTGAGAGGCCAGTCGCCCCCGAAGTTTGCGAACATCCTGACTACGTTCGGTTCCTGGAAGCGGTAGAGGCTGAGTGTGACCAGAGCAGGATGACACCACCCTTGAGGCTAGCATTTCAGACAGAGATGATGCGTGAGGCCGCCAAGATCGCTCGGGACTCCCTGATTCGGAAATCACCATCATCGAGTTTTACCCAGCTCCTGGTCATCAAAAGTATCGGGCGATGCCTCTGGAGGCAAGATGTGCGTCTAGCACACCGTGTTTGGCGATCTCACGCTCTAGGTAAGGAGTTTCTACAGATCAACCTGCTGGAGGGGACAGTGGAGTTGATCAACCCGCCAGAGTTCCAGAGGCGAGCCAATGAGATTCACCTCACTATTGCCAAACAACGAGAAGCTAAACACAAACAAGACATTGCGAATGCCAGTGCAGAGCCCGCCAGAGCGAAAGCCAGGCGACGGCTAAAGTGCACGCATCGCAGGAGCCGCCTCTGGACGCCTTTCGATCGCAGAATGACTTTGCAAGGAGTACGCGCTTCCGATGGGGAGTCGGTTGTCTCGTCGCCAGCTGCCGTCCTCCAAGAGCTTGGGGATCATTGGCGACCCGTGTTCGCAGAAAAGTCCATCAATGTTTCAGCTGCCCAATCTTATCTTCGTCAACATTGTGATGATATTGATCTTTCAGACCTTCCCCCTCCATCCTTGCATGCGCTTCAACGGCGTATCGAGCGTGCGGAAGATAGTTCCCCTGGGTTGGATGGCCTCCCCTATCGAGCTTGGAAACGACATCCACACGGTCTTAACATTCTAGATGAGGTGGTCTGGTGGTTATTAAGTGGGAGGAGCATGTTACCAGCATTCAATGATGTACGAGGAGTTTTCATAGCCAAAGGAGATGAGGAGCAGGATTCACATATGATCGTTCGGAACGCTGAAGCTACCCGGCCTCTAGGACTAAAACAATCGTCGAACAAGCTGGTCACGGGCGTCGTTTTCGAGAGTTTATCCCGTCGACTGGGTGATAAAGTCCATTATTCTCAAAGGGGATTCGTCGGAGGGAGGAATTTTGGTCTAAATATTCTCGAGCTCGACGTGCGAGCCCGAATGGTCTCGATGCTCCCCGATGCCGCTGCTCGGCTTCCAGCTTTGATATCTTTCGATTATGGACAGGCCTTCCCGTCGGTCGCGCACCGATGGATCATGATGACGCTTGCTGCCTTCCATGTGCCGCTGCCCATGCAGATCTTCGTAGAGACGTTGTACACGAACGTGCGATGCTTTGGCACATTCGGCAGAGTATGCAGTTTCTTGTTCTACATCATGTCGGGGATCATTCAAGGATGCCCAGGGTCTGGCGCCCTGTTCGCCGTCGGGAGCCACCCCTTTCTCGTGGACATGTGGAAACGGCTGGAAGCTCAGAATGATGTGCCACCTGGCGAGCTGCGAGAAGATCTCACAGGTCGAGCTCGAGAACGCCAGATGAGTATGGCAAGGGCTTGTGCTGATGATATTGGATCTGTGGTTTCAGCGCTTCGTGATCTTCTTCAACTGAAGGACGCATTCGACTGCAGTGAGGCCCTTGCGTGCCTCAAGCTCAAGTATGCCAAGTGTTTCCTGGTTCCTCTTGCGGGCCCCTTCTCGCCCACCCTCGTCGCCAAGTATCGATTCTGGCTTCAGAACTTTCTCCCCGATTGGGGAGCGTTCCAGGTTGTGAGTTCCCTGACCTATCTTGGCATGATTCTTGGGCCCAGCGTGACCACTGAGAGCTGGCACAAGCCTCTTTTGAAATGGGCAGGACGTACAGTGCAGATTGCCAAGGTCGGCGCCCCGCCGACCATCACTGAATACATGTACTCTAGCCGTGCCGTCTCAACCCTCACCTATGTCGCCCAATTCTGTCCCATCCCTGAGCTTTGCCCTGCCCTTCCCGCCCCGCTCTCTCGTGTTGAGCATGCCTCCTTCGCCTCTCTCTTCAAAGTCCCCCATTGCTCGCTTCCACGGAGTGGCTGGTTCTCGCTTCACCAGTGGGGAGGACCGCAACTCACAAGTGTGAGATCATTGAGCTGTGCCACGCTAATGAGAGCCGCTGTCAACACGTTCCCTGAATATCGAATGCTCTTGGACCAGCTATCTGAGTTTGCCTCTCGCCATCTCGAGATCGTTGATCTCTCGGCTGAGAAGCTGTCCCCGCGCTTCTGGCAGTCACCAGCGTTTGTGGAGCATCTCTCGGATGCGGCCGGTGGCTTCTCTCGCTCGCGGGACCTTGCTCGAGCTGGATCGATCGCCCGTGATGCTGCGCTGGAGCTCTTGACCTCTGCCTCCGCCCTCCCTCGCCCCCCCAAGAATGTGAAGATGCAAGGTAGACTGCTGAAGATTTTCCAACGAGAACTCTTCCCTGATTCCCTGGACGTTGTTTTCTCGGAGCGTTGGGCTCGTTGGTTCCCTGAGGCCGCGGAGGTCCTGGTGCACGTGAAATGGGAAGAGGTCCGTGAGCTTCTCATTCGAATGAGAGGCCCCTTAGTGAATGCGATATGGAAGACTCTCTCTGGTAGTTGGATCACAGCCATGCGGTTTCACGACAGTGAACCACTATGCTGTCTGCTGGGCTGCGGCGGCCCTGACAGCTTTGTCCACTATTGGTGCTGCCCACGCTTTATCCAGCTTCTCGAATCTGTGCTGTGCTCCCAAGTCCATTACTGTCCGATTTGTCGCTCTGGTGTTTTTCTTCCGACCATCTCTAGTCTTACCGTCCCTGCTGCTGCCTATCTCCTGTTTGTGAATCTCCGCTCGCTCTTCATGCCACCTGAACCTCTCACTTTAGAGGTGGCACAGTCGGCTGTTCCCCTCACGAGGGTCCAGCTCACGCGGGCGAGGGTGCGCGGCGGCCAGCGCGGATGAGGGACACGTGGCGCGCAGCTACGTGCGAGGAGGAGGAGGAGGAGGAGGAGGAGGAGGAGGAGGAGGAGGAGGAGGAGGAGCGATGGCGGGAGTCCCAAGGAAATCGTGAGAGAAAGCCAGCGGTGGGCCACGAAGGGCATAACAAATCCGAGGCCGCAGAGGGCAGCGCCGCAAAGCCAGCGGTGGGCCACGAGGGGCATGCATGTGGGGCCACGACGGGCGCGAGCGAGCGGGGGCCACGAAGGGCATCCGTATACGGTGCCTACACAGGGCGACAGCGGGGCCACCGAGGGCAGCAAAGGGGCCACGAAGGGCCGCGAGGGGGGCCACGAAGGGCGACAGCGGGGCTACGAAGGGCATGGGTATGGGACCGCGACGGGCGCGTGCGAGCGGGGGCCACGAAGGGCATAGGATGCGGGGCCGCAGAGGGTAGCGACGGGGCCACTGAGGGCAGCAACGGGGCCACGAAGGGCAGCGAGCGAAGGCGACCGCGGAACCAGTACGGACAGCGAGGGGCATCGAAGGCGGGCGAAGGGCAGCGAGCGGCGACTGCAGTCATTAACGGCCTGGTCGGGCGGGCAGGCCCCGACGGGCGGGTTGAGCGGGCGGGTCGTTGAAGCGTGAGTCTTGCTTGAACCGCCAGGCAATCTGTAGTGGGAGCGCGATTCCTGAGTGTCGAGGACCAGCATCTGAATAAACTGTGAAGAAATATCAAGCGAAGCGTTTCGGTGGTAAGTTGCGAGGAAGTCCCAAGCGAGAACGCGATTCTGTAATACATTGTCAGGAAGTATCAGGCGGGAGCCGCGATTCGGTGGTACATTGCCAGTAAGTCCCAAGCCAGAGCGCGATTCTTCAATACACTTTGAAGACGTATCATGTGGGAGCCGCTGTTGTTGTCCCTGATAAAAGGACAGGGCGCGAGCCCCAGGAGGGGCACTTCAATTGAAAAATACAATGTGCACCGGGCGGGGGGGATCAACAATCATTATGCTTCAGAAATGTGAATTCAACAACAACAACAACAGCAACAACAACAACAACAACGACGACACAACCGACAACGACGACGACGACGACGACGACGACGACGACGACGACGACAGCAGCAGCAGCAGCAGCAGCAGCAACAACAACAACCACAACAGCAACAGCAACAACAATGAAGAACAAAAACGCCAGGAAGGGCCGCCGCTGTCTCGTCGTGCCCTCCTCCGCCGTTCGGAGCGGCGGCGGACCGCTCTTTGCCGCGCCCCCCGCCGCGGCCCAGGCTGGCGGGCGGGTTGAGCCGCGGCGACCGCGTGAGCTCCAGGGGGAGCGCCGAAGGTGGGCGGAGGGGGCCGGGAAGGCCTCGGGCTGCTTGCCTCAGCAGGCCCCCCGAGTGGCCCATGGCGGTCTCGACGCCCGGTCGCCGCCTCCAGCGGCGCCCACGGGGGACGTTCCGCGCCCCACGGGCTACTCGGGGAGCCCACTGAGGCCAGCCGGGGGCTGTCAGTGCGCTGCGACTAGCCGAAGCCTGCTCAGAGGGGAACCCATAGAGATCCTGGCGTCGCATTTTCGTTTGCACCGGGCGTTGTCGCCCAGCTTCGGGCCCCGAGGCCTTCGCGGCTGGATCTGGCCCGAGGGGTGCCGCAGAAGCAGGAGGTCTGCTCGGGGCTCCCGTCGCGATTTCTCGCGATGCTGCTGTTTTTCGCGTCGTCGGATCTCGGGGTAATTCGGGGGCAAGCGGCAGGGCATGCCGCGCAGCCTCAAGTGCGGTGTGGGTGGGCTCTGGGCAACTCTGCTCTCCTCGCGCCGTGAACAAAATCTCGACGGGAGGCTTGTCGCCATTTTCGGCCTTCTGGGGCCCTTGCTGAGCCCCGGGTCGTCGTCGGGGTGAAGAGCCGGTCCCATGGAGGTGTTTGGACCTTCGGCTGTCAAAATCACGACGTCGGAGGTCTGGGAAAGGGGTGGACTCAGGACTCTGGAAACCGCTACTGGGCCCCTCGACATTCAAAAGACGGCCCGGGGTCTGCAATGCGGCCCAGATCGCGTATTGCAACAGTCGCGACGTGTGATAAGCGTTTTTTGCCAGCCCCGCCCGTGGCCCGAAGAACATCGCGCGCAGCAGTCGTGCTGCCAGACGGATCGCCGCCAGGGCGCCGCGGGCGCCACAGTGATTCCCGGGCGCGACAAGGTGCCCAGCGCATCCCCCACGGTTTCAAGCCCTCCTGCCCCGCTCATGTTTCGCCTTATCCACCATCTCTGCTTCATCCTCCTCCTCCTCATCCTCTGACGCTTCCCACCGACCCTGGGAGAGCGATCAGTGCATGTGGTTTTGTTCAGCGCCATATTTGGCGGTTTGCGCTTGGGCTGTGCCCGTTGGAGCTGCAGTCGTGGCCGCCACCGCCCGGACGAGACAGAAGTGATCGGACATTGTTCATTTCCCCCGTCTTTCATGAGATGATCGGGAACTGCTGAGGTCGGGGAGGACTGGGCATCCGATCTAGGTCAAGCAGCGCATAGGCATTAGGAGGTCACGATCGGCACTCGTATCTTAGTGACAGATATTACGGTAGAGCGCGAGGTGTATCCCCTGCATAAGTTCAACCTTGCTGCTCCGTTCACGTATCACGCTAAAGCAGCAGAGCAAGTTTGGTGAAAACGGCTCGGTCGAGAACGAGGCCATGCAGCGAAACAAGGCAGCAAGCACTGCAGGCTCTCGGCCGACCAGGAAGCAAGACAACGAGCCTGTGCCGCGTGCCGCGGCTGCGGCACCCGTGCGCCTTCGTGCTGCGGGTGCGCACGGGCGTCTGCCCGCTGCTCTCCCGCCAACGCCCACGAGATGGAGGCCGAGACGCGCTGCCCTCGATGCCGAAGAGCCTGCTCGCGCGAGCGCGCGCGTGCAGAAATCGGCGTTCTGCAGGCCGCCGGCCGCGCTGCGGCCCGCGCGAGACCCGTGCGGGGCCGTCGCGCTGCTGGCCGTCTGCGCGTGCGCTCGGGGCCGCGAGCGGGGCCCCCGCAAACGCCCGCGCTCTCGCAGAGGAGCCCTCGACCCGCTCCCCTCGTCCGACCCGCATCCACGGCGAGGAGCTTCTGCAGCGCCTGCCGCTCGGAGGTGGACGGACCTTCTACCCTGACACGTCGATGAGCGCATGGGCCGGTTTTCGGTTCGCGAGGGGGCATCGCGGCCGTCATCTCTGCGGGTCCAGGTCCGTCGTTGTCGGCCCTTGGCCGTTTGCACCAGAGTTAGGGGAGGTTTACGAAAGGGAGGCTTGTCCACCGCCGACTTGTGTTGCAGAGCCTGTCGCGCCGCGGGTTCTGGCCCGCAACGCTGCGGCGTGGCGCGCCAGCCACGTCCTGGTCCCCAATGCGTCAGCGTCCTTGGGCTCTCCCCAGCCTCCCAGCCCGCGGAGCGGAGCGACACGGCCGTTCCCCTGGGGACGCGCTGAGCAAAAGTGCCCGATGGTAGGGGGGACACACCACCTCGCGGAAGTCGAGGGTCGAGAAGGAGGGAGGATCGAAGCTCGAAGCGGTCTTAGACGTTTTGGGGTGGGATCGAGGAGAAGAGGCGATCGAAGATCGAGGCGGTCTTGGATGTTTTGGGGTGTGTTTTGGCGTTATGGGGGGGGTCCCGTGTCGAGGGAGGTCTGCTTCCTGGAGGAGTTGGCAACCCCTCACGCAGTGACCCCCCGTGGCGTTGCCTGGAAGTCTGTTGGCGTCGTGGGAGAAAGCAGGATAGACGGTTTGGGCAGTTCTCGGCCTCCGGGGGCCCTTGCCAAGGGCCCCCTGGCCCTCGGCAAAGAGCGGCTCAGGACGAGAGGCTGGTCCTGGGAAGAGGGCCGCTACCTCCGCGGGCTCCACGCCGCGAGAAATCACGACCCTTTGGGAGCTGGTGGTGTGAAGGGACATCGCGCCCAGCGATGATTTCGGAGGAGCTGGCCCTGGGACCCATCCCAGCAGTGGTGCCAGATATCGCATGTGCCAGTTTTCCCGTGCGGCACGGGTTGAGTGGGCAGCAGTTGTCCACCTTTGAGGAGGGGTAGGAAGAGGACGAGAAAGAGGCGGAGGAACTGGAAAGTGACGAATCGTTATGCTCCAGCCCGCTCTCCAAGGCGAAAGTTGGTGAGGGACGGGATGCGTCGGCGAAGGGAAGGGGGTCAGCGGGTCTGAGCAAAGGGGGTTTGCAAGAACGAGAGGCTAGCAAGAGTCTGAGCACGAGCGGGTCAGCGGGCCTGAGCAAGAGAGGGTTTGCGGGAGCCAGTTTTGTCGGCCGGGTGTTTTGGTCATCCGTGGGCCTCGTCATGCACATCATTGAGGTGTTTCGGAAGCCTACGCGCGTGTCGCATGTCCGAGCTCGAGTACAAAATGTTTCCAAACATGAATTATCGAAGGTCCGTGCGGATCCGATGGATTTGCGATGGACACCCCTGGCGGTGCCTCGGGCACCGCCCCTAGCGCGCTCTGCGCGCCAGGAAGGTGGGTTCACCGTTGATCGAAGAAATCTGCGCGGACCTTCGAATAGTTATGTTCATGTATCTTGCTATTTTCCTAGGACCGTCCAGCCTGAAGACGGCCCCAGCTTCTTCATTTGTTTCCCCCCGCTATGTTTGTGTTTATGTCTCTGTCATCTCTTCGCGTCCGCCGCCCACCGAGCGTCAGTAGTAGCAGAGGGTGGCCAGCGTCTGTTGCCCACCTGAAACTCTGAGGCAGCAGACAGCTTGCTGTACAATGCGTTTCTCTTCAGTGTACCCTAGGGAACTAGTGTGCCTGTCTCTTTCTCACTCTCTCTCTCTCTCTTTTTTTCTCTCTCTCTCTCTCTCTCTCTCTCTCTCTCTCTTTGTCAGGAAAGGAAAACACACAGACACAATGGTTCGTCGATTCTCATGAACATATGGGAAACTCAGGGAAGTGAGTAGGAACACGTAAATCCAGACAACATGTATACATGTATGCGGAATCCTGAGAGTTGTGTGTATCTATCTGTGTGTCCTCGGGCCCCTTCAAGCTAGTGGCTCTCTCTCTCTCCCTCCCTCCCTCTCTCTCTCTCTCTCCCTCTCTCTCTCTGTATCTCTCTCTCTCTCTCTCTCTCTCTCTCTCTCTTTGCCCCTGAAGAGGCCAGGCCGCGCGAGGGGGCGGGGGGGCGAGCAGGCTCCCGCAGCGTGGAGAAGGGCCTCGACGCTCCCAAGAAGCTGCAACTGAGGGACGGGGAGGACGGCCTCGATCACCAGCCTCGAATTTATCCCTATCCATATTGACACGCCAAAAGGCGACGACAATCTTAGGGATGCGCCCTCAAAAGCTGAGGGAATCCCTAAGATTGGCATCGTGAGGGGGCGATGCCCAGCATAGGGATAGGGATCTGGTAACTCGAGAATCGCCCGCACCCGCAGCACTGGCTAGACCCATGATGTTCCAACCTGCTACAGCCTTGGCCACGAGAAAGAATTTCGAGCACCCAGAGAGTACCGACCGAAAGTCGAGGGTTTTCACGTGTCGGGCCCCGGGACACGCTCGTTCGAGACACTCTTTCGACACTGTCTCGACACTTTTCCGGGTGCAAACAATCATTTCTGGGATGTGGCTCTTAAGTGCGATAGGAGCAACATAAGGCGAGCCCACCAGCGGCATTCAACTTTGAACGCTGCGGGCGACCCAGAATCGTCCGATGTGGAACCGATTTGAGCGTTTCGGGAACGGCCGGTCGCTCAAGTTTGAACGATCCCCGCGGTGTCAGGAACCAACGCTGGGGTCGACACGACGTGAACATGCTGTAGACAAGAACTCAGACGAAGTACACAAGCAGAAACTGAAGGAGGTCGCACGGATTTCTTGGGTCTGCACTCGGGCCCCCCTCCCCACTCCCGTGACGACGCATGTTGCGCCGCCCCCAGTGCGCTCCGCGCGCCAGGGAAGCGCTCCGGGAAGAGGGGTCCAGCGCCGCCCAAACTCGTCCGCATGGTCTCCGAGAGGTTCTGTTTGGTTCACTAGTGGCGTGGCACCAGTCGATGCCGTCGTCCGCGTGTTCATTCCCAGTCTTTCCTCACAGTGGGATGGCGCAGGACGCAGACCAGGGGACGCTCGGGGTACCCAATCAGCCCGCAGAGGCCTCCAGAGTTAATTCTTGACGCGTCGCGGCCCCCCGGGGCGGAAGTTACGCACATCCCGAGTACGTCGCAGGAAACGCGCTGTGTGGGTGTCGGATAGATTGGTCCCCCCTGGTGCGGTCGCATAGTTTTCGCTTTGCGTTTCCCCCCGACGGGCGCCTGCGTCCCGTGCTTCTCCTGGCCTCCCGCCCCCTTTGGCTGGGCGACGCGCTGCCCGTTCGCCCCCTTGCGTGTCGCCGGGGCCGCCGCTACGGCTCGTTGGCTGCCTTCTCGCGCGTGCATCCACCAGGAAGGCTGAGGCCTGTGGAGTGGGGATCCAGGGCACCACGTAGTGTCAGCACTGTCCTCCGCCAGTGGTCTGGCGTGTGGTTCCCCCCCCGCGGTCGCGGAAGACCCTCCACTGGGATCGGTGGAGGGACCACAGAGATGCCTCTGACTTGGACTGTCGTTCCCCCCCCTGTGGTCACTGACGGCCCTCCACAGGAAGCGGTGAAGGGATCACAGAGGTGACTTCGACCGGTGTTGTTCCCCCCGTGGTCACTGAAGACCCTCCACAGGGAGCGGTGGAGGGAACACAGAGGTGACTTCGACCACACAGCATCGTCAGAGGTGCCGCCTCTTCCTTCTCCTTCGCTCTGCACCTCACGTGCTTCCCCCCGACGATGCGGCCCTGGAGCTGGGACAGCGTTCCCCAGCAGTGGTCAGGCGCTCTGTTCCCCCCACGGTCGAGGTCCCACATCGCGCGGTGGAGATATCACAGTGGCCAAGGTCTCGCAGTATAAGCATTGGCGTCGCCCCTCCTCCTCCTCCATTTATCCACTGGTTTTGCGGCTATCAGCTGCGTCTCCTTCTCTCCCCCTCCTCCTCATGTGGATTCGGTTCTGCACCTCATGTGCTTCCCCCCCGACGATACGGCCCTGAGGCAGGGGCATAGCGCTCTCCTGCAGCGGGCAGACGCTCTGTTCCCCCCGCGACTGAGGTCCCACCGCACCTCGCTGTGGAGGTCAGTGCGGCCTGGTCCCACCGTACAAGCAATGGCCGCCCCTCTCCTCCTCCCGTCATTCACTGGATTTGCGGCTATCGGCTGCGTCTCCTCCTCTCCCCCCTCCTCCTGCGGATTCGGCCACACACGATTTCCCCCCCACCGAGGCTCTTGGAGCACTCGGTTCTATGTACCACCTGGAGGCTCTTTCGCAGATCTCCGAGGTGAGGTCGGGCCGCGCTGCCGCCATGTGTTGTTCTGACAACTCGGGCCTGCCTGCCCCGGCAACACCGGGGGCCGGACCTGGGGGGGGTGAGTGCGATACGGCAAGTGGTTCACCTTTTGCTCGACTGTCGGCGTTCCCCCCTTCTGGTCCACTTCTGCCCCCGGTTGACGCTCGCTGCTTGGTTCCCCCGTCCACCGTGATGGATAAGCGGCATGCGTTGCTCGCCGTTGACTTGGACCACCCCCCTGGCGGGAGCCACCTTCGTGTTCCAGGTACTGCACAAATGGTTCAGCCTTTGTCAGTGTTCCAGCCCTCCTGCGAGGTGGTCCATGGCGTTCGGCCACGCCTGCTGCCGTTCGCCCGACACTCCGGGCCAGGCAGTCAAGGTTCGGACTCCGCGACTGGGTCGACGTCTCCGGGCATTGGCCGGTGCCTCACGTCAGATCGCGCCCAGGAGTCCATGTGAGTGAAGTTCTCCCAGCTCCCCCTCCTCCGCCCGCGCGTTCTTGCTCTCTCGCCTCCTCGTCTTGGTGAGCGGTGCGGCCTCACGTGCCCACCGTGCTACCACTGAGCTGCTGGCTCTAGCCAGTGTTCTCTGAGCTGTACGGTCCGAGCTGGCGCCACTGTGCAAATTCTCCTCCGTCTGCTTCAGTCTGGTGCTTGCGTCCCCGTTCCCGGGTCGCTCGCATCTCAATGAGGGGCATTTTGCCTCTTGCAGGTGCACCCGCTGCGTCGGCCTAGGCGCCTTCGTAACCAATTATTTCGCCCTGTGCCCCAGCCGCGCCCGCCCCGCTTCCTGGAATTGTCCTTGGAGCCGTCCATCAACAAAGTATCCCCACCAGCCGACGACCCGTTCTGCCGAATTGGGATACCTGGGATGCAGGGGCCCGTTTGCACTTCGAGGCGTTCGCGCTTACACGGTGATCTTACGCTTCGAGGTTCACAGTATATTGGTTGACGTCGGCTGCGCTGTTCTCCCGCATTGGTTTACGCTTTGACGGAGACGTGGTGTGTCTGTTCCAAGATGTCGAGGTCACCGGTGTGCTCGGACTCGAGTTCTCCGGTTTCTGAGCTGAGCTGTGATAGGTCGCCTGGCCATTTTCGCTGCCCGTTCGCCGCCCGCGCTCGGTCTCGGTCTTGTTTTTTTTTTTCCGCGCTCGCGTGCTGTAGTGTCGGCGTGTGTCCTGCTCACTGTAGGTTTGGTTTTCGTGCGACTCCTCGACGCCGCCCATGAGAGTTGACAGGGGGAGAGAGAGGAAGAGACACGCATGGTCAAACAGCGAGGGAGGTTCGGGAGGCTCCCTGGCCATCTCGAGCCGTTTTGGAGCGGTCTCGGGGACGCTTGGAGCATTTTTGGAGCCATCTAGAACCAGGCTGGGCTATCTGAGCCATCTTGGAGGCCATTTTGGGCTCTCTGAGGCCGCTCGAGGGCCTCTTGGGTGCCTTTCGGGTGGCTCTTGGAGCCCTCTTGGGGCCTTCTGGGGCGCTCTTGGAGCCCTTTTCGGGGGCCTCTTGGGAGCCCTGGAGCCCCTCTTGGTGCCATCTTGGAGGCGGTTGGTCAAAAGAGGGGGGGGTACCAAATGTAGCTCCCCCCTTCGGGGGCCACGTTCCTCGTGAGGGGTTTTAAAAAGTTAGCCCTCCCAGGGGCCGAGAATGGAGCCTCCGACGCCTCGCGACCCCTCCAACAAAAACTCAGGGAGGGGAGGGGGAGGGCTCCCTTCCCCGAAGGGAAGGGGGTTGTGGAAGAGGAAAGATACCCTCCTTAGAACACCTGTCGCCCAAAGGGCTGGTGGGATGTGGTTGAACCTTTTGTTGTTCAGACATCGGCGTCACGATCTTCCGTGACGTAGACCCACGGGCCTCTCGACGCCATCCTTTGGGCCGGGTGTCCGTCCAGTATCGTTCTGTTGATTTCGTCGTCTCGTCGTGGCGCCGGAGGCCTGGGCTGTCTCGTCCTCTTCCTTCTCGTCGGGCTAACTCGCGTTGCAGCAGGGCTCGTTTCGATTCCTCTGGTTCGATCCGGTTCGCTTGCGATGGATTCCGATTCCGATTCGATTCGACATCGGATTCCGATTTCGATTCCAATTTTCCAACGCGGCCTCACTTTTGTGGCGATTTCCGCCGGTTCGACTCCTCCCGGCCTGGCAGCCGATCTCCGCCGATACGGTTCATCTCGATCGCGGATTCGATTCATCGTTTCGATTTTGGGCCCACTTGCGTTACAGTGGGTCCGCACGTGAGAGCTTCCCTCCGTGGTCTGGGGCATCGCACTGGGGTCGGCATCCCCCCAACATACTTATACTATGTGTTCGTCGCCCCCCCAGGGGCGACGCGCGCACCGAGAAATCTTGTAGTATATGCGTCGTGGCGGGCGTTTTCTGGCCACACCGCTCGAGAAACGATATACTACAAGATGGGTATACTATATGTTCGGGTCGGACGCGCGCCTCCAAGGCGGACATATAGTATTAGTATGTCTCTGTGCGTCCCATGGGGGGCTCGGTCCTGGAGCCAAGGGTCTTGGCCGCTCTTCGGGCGCCTTCGGGGGCCACGGGGCCCTCCACGGGCCGCGGGGCCGGCGCCGCGAGCAGCGCCAAACGGGGACCCGGTGCTGGGAGAGGCCGCTCGGTCGGGGGCCCGTCGAGGCCTCGGGGCCCGCTGCCTTCGCGGCGAGGGCGTGGCGAGCTCTGCCGCGGCGGCGCGTGCCCGTGCGCGGTCGGGCGGCGAGTGTTTGGGGGGCCGCCGCGGCTCGGGGCCCTCGTCTGCGCCGGCCCGCGCCAGCATGAGTATAGTCACTGCAACCGGACCGGGGTATGAGATCGAGGTCGATTCGGGGAGGGTGCCCTCCTCCTCCCCCTCCTCCTCCTCCTCCTCCTCCTCCTCCTCCTCCTCCTCCTCCTCTCCTCCTCCTCCTCCTCCTCTTCCTCCTCCTCCTCCTCCCCT